GGGTTTGGAGCCAAAAACTATTCTTAAATATTACATCATAATATTGTAGAAGTTTTGTAAACTGTAAATTTCCCGAAACGTCGATTGCGCTAAATCACAAAGTCGATGAGCTTTTAGTAGAAATCTTGACGCAGATCAAACGTCAGAAACAAAAAGCCTGTGCATCCGACTACGACCATAGCTGTTATAGTCAACAGTGCATCATTCCAATATTCAATCAATTACACAAAACAGACGTGTTTGATGACGTCACTGATCGCTTTATCACAGGAAGCCTTCGCAATAAGTGATGTCATCAAAAACTTAGTTTTAGCGGAATTGCAGGAACAACAGACGTCTGATTGAAATTGGGAATGATGCAAAAAAGGGAGAAAGAGGATTTTTAAAAATAGCACGGATCATACCATCATTAGCATAAAATTAATTACTGGAGCGGGTCCTATATAATATTTAATTATATCAATCAATACGATTTCATTTTTATTATGGAATGTTATAGATTGGTTCCCTTATTTTCATTTATGAAAATGCTAATACTTATATTAAAAGAAAGTAGAGATGTACTAATAACTTGAAAAAAACACCAGTTTGTCTCACATGTCCATAATTAATTCATAATTAGCTAAATTAGAAGAGAATTACCAGCAGTATGGAAACTGAGTGCGGCTATATTACTCGTGGGTGAGAAGTCGGGACACGATAAAGCGAGGAAAAAGGCGAGAAATTGTTTTCTCGTCTTTTTCCTCGTCTTTTTTTACCCTCGCTTTCTCGCCTTTTTCCTCGCCTTTTTTTTCTCGCCTCTTTCCTCGCCTTTTCCTCGCCTTTTCCTCGTATCGCTTTCTCGTAGACGAGAAGTCGAGTTTCCTCGCTTTCTCGTGAGCGAGAAGTCGAGAGTACCTATGGCCGCAGCCGGCTTCCATACCAGGAGGATTATAATGAGTGACCGATCAAGAAAGGTCAACATTTATGATATACACAATAAGATATGATTAATAATACATGATAATGCATTAGAAACACCCATTTATCAAATAGTTTGCTTAATTTGACAATAAAATAAAAGGAAACCCATCTTTAATGAAATGGGAACGGTGGACTTGGTGTATAATGATTTCGAATTTTATTCTCAATCAAATCAATCACAGTAATATTCAGGAAGATTGAATCAGATCTTAAAATTCCACGGGAGATTCCGCGGATTGTGCTTTTGGTAGTCGACTCTCAATATTATCAGATACTATTTTAATAATACATTCTATAACGATGCGAGAGGCTTTATAAAACTCAGAACACATAAGAGCGTATCTTTTGGATATTAGATGCAATATGAGTAGGTAGGTATACATTTATTATGTCAGAGTTAAAAATAGAAAGAAGTAAAATATGTGAATTTTAGTGCATATTTGATAAGTGACTCTATATTTATTTAGCAGACCGACTGAGCATGATGTTTTTTTGTATTTTTCTTTGTACTGAGGTGAAGATAATTTACTATAAGAATATATTTTGTATCGTAAGTATAATTATTTCAAAGATGGAAGAGTCTTAAAGACTATGTATTTTTATGATTTTCTATTTACTTGTTTACTTTAGCTAAAGCTAGGTCGGGACATTCCGACTTCAAACTTTCAAATTTTGATACTAAATACTCGTTTTAATATCTGTTCTTTTGCACAAACCTGTATTTTCTCCCCGGCTTGTATTTGTTGTTGTTTTTTACACCCGCTTAAGTTTTAATGATGCCTATAAGAAAAAAAATGATTGACTTACTGAGTAGGACAAAATCGAACTTCATCCGTGAGAAAAAAACATATTAAAGTGGCATCACAGAAAAACATAATGGAAACCAATTGTGATTAGGAACACAGTGCCTGATTTATCATTAGGGCTGTTATATTCGATTACCCTATCATCAATTGATTGATCAACCGTTTCATTGAATTTAACAATATTTTATATACTCAACAATAGTTATTTATTATTGTGGTATATTAGATTTCGGGAGAGGGAGGGTTTGATTCTCCCAAATGTACAGGCCTAGGGTGGAGCAGACACTTTATTTAGAAATTAAGATTAAGGGTCTTGATATTGGGTTTTCTTCTGTTCTTATTCTGACCTGAAATTAGAAAAAATAACTCGCCCGGTGGGCGAGAAGTATAGTATCTGTTATGTACTGATTGTTTTTAGTTTACTATGGACAATATTATCATCACGCTGCGAATTACGGTATGGGATAATTGACATAGTTGAAAAATGAAAAAGCGATTTCAAGGTACAGGTTCTATAAAAATGTGCAACGACATAACAAAGGCATACGTGGCTGGTTACGATTTGGTTCTTCTTTTTTTTGCCGAGATTATGGGTTATCTTATTGCAATTAAGACAGTGGTTCCCAACTTATTTCAGCCTTTATACCCCTGGTGCAATCACGTGTACCTTTCACACCCCAAATGATGTGAGGTGCTCTCTCAATTCAAAATAAATTCTTACACCAGTTGACCAAACCCCTGGTGAAGGTTTAGCGATATTCGTCTTATGCCTTGACTGCAATAGCCACTTTTCTTGTATTATGGAATACAGCGAATTAATTGGATTGTATGCTAGCAAATACAGTCAATCTGGGCCCTTTACAGTAGTGCTGGCACGGTATATCTAACGGAGGATCGATGTATCGCGATACGACATGGCATGATACGCGACGCCATGTGTCGATACTTGACGATATTTACCATTCCATAAAGATAGTGGACCACAGCCATATACGCCCACCACGACATGCGGATGGTAAATATTCAAGATTTTGGGGCAGGGGCAATAACTCTGCTTCTAACGGTCGAAAAAAGCTCAAATTTGAGCTTGATCTTCGTTTTATGAATATGTATACACATACCGAATTTCATTTGTTTCCATCAAAAATTCTATTTTTTAGAGCATTTACAAGCAAATGTTGACGGACGGACGCACCGACGGACCGACAGACGGACAGGGGTGCCGACAATATACGTTCCCCATTTCCGTCCGTCCACAAATGCTCGTAAAGACTCTAGAAGGCACAATTCTTGACTGATTTCGACGAAACTTGGTATGATTGCTTGT